TTCCTGATGCGAAAGTCATTTCTCGTGAGCTTTGAAAAACACTTCTTCATGGATTATGTTCTCCTAACTGTGAGAGATAATTGGGATTTTTGAAGAGGTATTTCGCGAATTAGGAGCAGGAACATCTTGTAAACTATATTTTCCTGATGCAAGTCATTTCTCGTGAGCTTAGAAGGGAACTTCTTCATGGATTATGTTCTCCTAACTTTGAATGAAAATTGGGATTGTTGAACTAATACTTCGCGAATTGGGGGCAGAAACATCTCCTTGTACATTCTATTTTCCTGATGCAAACGCCATTTCTCGTGAGCTTAGAAAAACACTTCTTCATGGATTATGTTCTCCTAACTTTGAGAGAAAATTGGGATTTTTAAATAGGTATTTCGCGAATTAGAAGCAGGAACATTTCCTTGTAAATTCTATGTTCCTGATGCAAAAGCCATTTCTCGTGAGCTCAGAAGAACACTTCTTCATGGATTATGTTCTCCTAACTTTGAGAGAAAATTGGGATTTTTGGACCGATACTTCGCGAATTAGGGGCAGAAACATCTCCTTGTACATTCTGTTTTCCTGATGCAAAGGTCATTTCTCGTGAGCTTAGAAGAACACTTCTTCATGGATTATGATCTCCTAACTATGAGAGAAAATTGGGATTTTTGAATAGGTATTTCGCGAATTAGGGGCAGAAACATCTCCTTGTACATTCTATTTTCCTGATGCAACAGTTATTTCTCGTGAGCTTAGAAGAACACTTCTTCATGGATAATGTTCTCCTAACTATGAGAGAAAATTGGGATTTTTGAATAGGTATTTCGCGAATTAGGAGCAAAAACATCTCCTTGTACATTCTATTTTCCTGATGCGAAAGTTAATTCTCGTGAGCTTAGAAGAACACTTCTTCATGGATTATGTTCTCCTAACTTTGAGAGAAAATTGGGATTTTTGAATAGGTATTTCGCGAATTAGAAGCAGGAACATCTCCTTGTAAATTCTATGTTCCTGATGCAAAAGCCATTTCTCGTGAGCTTAGAAGAACACTTCTTCATGGATTATGTTCTCCTAACTTTGAGAGAAAATTGGGATTTTTGAACTAATACTTCGCGAATTGGGGGCAGAAACATCGCCTTGTACATTCTATTTTCCTGATGCAACAGTTATTTCTCGTGAGCTTAGAAAAACACTTCTTCATGGATTATGTTCTCCTAACTTTGAGAGAAAATTGGGATTTTTAAATAGGTATTTCGCGAATTAGAAGCAGGAACATTTCCTTGTAAATTCTATGTTCCTGATGCAAAAGCCATTTCTCGTGAGCTCAGAAGAACACTTCTTCATGGATTATGTTCTCCTAACTTTGAGAGAAAATTGGGATTTTTGGACCGATACTTCGCGAATTAGGGGCAGAAACATCTCCTTGTACATCCTATTTTCATGATGCGAAAGTCATTTCTCGTGAGCTTAGAAGAACACTTCTCCATGGATTATGTTCTCCCAACTTTGAGAGAAAATTGGGATTTTTGAACTGATACTTCGCGAATTAGGGGCAGAAACATCTCCTTGTACATTCTGTTTTCCTGATGCAAAGGTCATTTCTCGTGAGCTTAGAAGAACACTTCTTCATGGATTATGATCTCCTAACTATGAGAGAAAATTGGGATTTTTGAATAGGTATTTCGCGAATTAGGGGCAGAAACATCTCCTTGTACATTCTATTTTCCTGATGCAACAGTTATTTCTCGTGAGCTTAGAAGAACACTTCTTCATGGATTATGTTCTCCTAACTTTGAGAGAAAATTGGGATTTTTGAATAGGTATTTCGCGAATTAGAAGCAGGAACATCTCCTTGTAAATTCTATGTTCCTGATGCAAAAGCCATTTCTCGTGAGCTTAGAAGAACACTTCTTCATGGATTATGTTCTCCTAACTTTGAGAGAAAATTGGGATTTTTGAACTAATACTTCGCGAATTGGGGGCAGAAACATCGCCTTGTACATTCTATTTTCCTGATGCAACAGTTATTTCTCGTGAGCTTAGAAGAACACTTCTTCATGGATTATGTTCTCCTAACTTTGAGAGAAAATTGGGATTTTTGAATAGGTATTTCGCGAATTAGAAGCAGGAACATCTCCTTGTAAATTCTATGTTCCTGATGCAAAAGCCATTTCTCGTGAGCTTAGAAGAACACTTCTTCATGGATTATGTTCTCCTAACTTTGAGAGAAAATTGGGATTTTTGAACTAATACTTCGCGAATTGGGGGCAGAAACAT